TTTACGTGAGAAACAGTCTTCTGCATGTTTGGTGGGAGTTTTTTTTTTTTTTAGGAACTTATGTTCTAGCTTAATGGAAAGATTAGGGCAGCAGGACTGCACTGGGCATTGAATAATCATTAAGGGTTTTTGTTGTGGGTCATATTGAAACAAACAGATTCTACTATTCCAACTTAGATCTTTTATTTTATTAATCCTTTAAAATTATTTTACTTATTTTTATTATGAGCAATTTTTTTTTTTTCAGGGAATAGAACTATACTATGCTTGAAGCATAGAACTCCTGATATCTTTCCACTCAGTGAAATTCAAATAATCTTTTCTTGCTAGGAGTCTTTTCCTTAATGTATTCTCCCTCATTTATAAGATCCATGAGACAGAAGAAATATCAATACCATCTTAATGCTTTTATGGATGTGCTCTCCCTGAAAAACTGTAAAATCTTAGTTTGTTAAAAAGTTAATATATAGTATGTTCACAGAAACTCACTTCAGCAGTAATTTATTTTATAAATTTCTGCATGTCATATTTGCATTTAACCTAGAAGAACTAGTCATTATATTAAAGAGCATGCCAAAAGACCATCAATTCTTGTAAGTCTGGTTGTGTTCTTTTGGTTTTTGATACATAAGCATATCTGTCAAAAGTCTCCCTCAGTGACAAGAATTGTGTTTAATTATTTTTTAGATGATATAGAAGTAACTGTATGCACTTGGTATGTACTTTGTATGTTGCACTACAGCGCTGAATATAGCTGCACTAATGTACTTTAAAACAGCACATGATAATGTTCTGCTTTTAATTTCATTCATGAGAAACAAGGAAAAGAATGATACTTTGCAAGATTAGATTCAATATTTTTTTATGTACTTATTGTGAAAATTTAATTCTCACATACAGGAAGTGCATGCATTTTTATGCAACTTAAAGGCAGGATTGTTTGCTAAGGCCAGAACTGAAAATATTGTGCTGTACCAAAAATTGAATCAGCTGAGTAATTTCAGAAACATGTTATTGATACTGGTGTAATTACTACTGTTACAGAAACTAAAAGGATAGTTGTACTTACATAGATGTGACGTATCTATTTATCTATATATAGACACACGCAACATAGGGACATTTAGAAAGTTGTCATGCAGGTTTAATCAACAGGTGTTCTCATACAGTTGTAAAGTCCCGTAGCAGAAGGAGGTTCTGGTGGCTGTTCTACCTTTTCTGTACCCTGTCTTCCAAAGTGCAATGAGCCCAAGAGTTATTTCTGTGCAGGACAGCCTTTCAGGGAGGCGTGACATCCAAGGTGGCTGCTGGGACCAGGCACCCTGAGCAGTAGGAGAATAAGATACTTTGCAGAGTCGCTGCTTCCAAGCAGGAGACCTGTGCTGTGCACACTTCGTAGGCCCTGTCCTTCCTGTCTGTAGGGCAGCTCCTTTGGTAAAAGCTCCCAGCCCATACTTGTCTACTTGAGCTATTGTAATAGTGAACTAATCTATACATCACAAGCCTTTAAACTGCCCTATAGTGGGCCTAGTATCTTATCACAGGATTTAGCCAAACTGAAGTTACAATGTGGGTATCCAACCTTTTGGCCTGCCCAGGCTGCATTGAGTGAACAGGAATTGTCTTGTGCCTCATACACAAAGGTCACTCCAAAAGTAATGCCTCCTATTTATTTCTATGGAAACTGCAAGTGATACAAAGAACATAATAACATTACTTGAAATTTGAAATTTTCATTTACAAATCACTATTTTTCGACACAGTCACCATTCTAGCTATGCATTATAAACAAGAGCCCACTGGAGATGACCTACTGTCATCACTGCTGAAATATTCCACCACCACCTCACATCTACTGTTGGGTTTCCATAAACATTCAGCAAACATCGATGAATGTCAATGGAGGCCATTTTTTTCTGCATGGATGAATTCAATCCCATGCCTTTTACTTCATATGCACTTCTATGTCAGATGCCATTTTGTCAGACTGCCTCTCTGCAGCCATCTGTCACAGAGAAACAAAACTATGAATATTGATTGTAAGGTTCAGACTCTGCTGCCATATCACCATCTGCTTCTAATACTGTGGGCCACCATAATAAAACAGGAGGCGTTACTTTGTAGAAGTCCTCATAAAATATATAGTTAATACATATAAGCAAAAAAAAAACCCCAAAGATTAAAATAATATTTCTTACTACAACAAAGTAAAGAACAAAATTGCAAAACAAGTGGAATATTTGACCTTGTTTTTGTGAAATTAATGTATTAATCCCTGGTGTGATGGTAATGGCTCCAATTCTTAGTGAGGTGTCAAGGTGTTCATCAGATTTTTGATGCAGTTTATTCTTCTGTACTGCACCTTTGAAAATAACTTCACAAATTTACATTCTGTCAAAAAAATGATGATATTAATAAGGTGTGATTGTGAAGAACTTCTCTGGTTAGACAAGCTTCTGAAAGAGATATGATCAAATTTTTAAGTTGAATGTCTGATTACAACTCTACACATTCAGTTTTAAAATATGTCGGTAATTTGTTTACGTTGATTGAAAATAGTATCACAAACCCCAGAAATTCTGAATTTTTTTTCCTAGCAAAAATCTATTCTCAAATTTTTTATCAGAATGGAAAGCACAGCTGCATGCTTTTCACTGTTTGCAGGAATGTATTTAGACATGCAAGTGTATCAGAATACATTGAATTGTTTGTCATAACTTGAATTTGGTATTGCACTGCACCCTCCCTATGTCCTGGTTTCAGCTCAGATAGGGTTAATAGGACACTGCTGGGTGGGTGTGCTCTTAGGCCTGGCCACTGGAAGGCACAGAGCCACTGCCATGATGGCCCAGTGGAAGGAGGTGGGCAAACTGTGCTGGGGCACATGCTTTAGTCCAGGCATGTCCAACCCGTGGGTTGCAGATTGATCAGAGGAGCACCCAGCTCATGTTCAGCTATGGAAGAGCAACATCCATCACTTTCCTGGTGAAGTCCCTGTCCATAGGCATCACTATTGCCAGTAAAATGCATTCCTTGCATCTGTTTTGAGTGTTCCACTTTTTGGCTCTTGGTTTATTTGCAAGGTAATGCTCTTTTGCCCCTAGCGTTTCCCTGACACACCTCCCTCGCTTTTGTGGCTGCTTTTGTAAGCCGGCTTTCCCCTGCACTCTCCCCTTTCTTAGAAGTGACTCTGTGTTTAGAGGAGGGAAAGTTTGAACTTTTTTCTTCTTCATTTCTTACATCACTGCATGCGGTTCTGTTTTGAAACAAACTTCATGTTTCTTTAGCATTCAAGAAAGCTTGCTGAGATGCCTTTGATTTCACTTCACTGTTACTATATGCTGAGGTTAAACTGCAAACCTGCTCCTATGTGTTATATTTCTGTTCATACATTCCAAAATTCATTGTCTTTCTGGGCATAGTTTTGTGCTGTGTGGTCCAGAGCTTTGTGGGATTCCCTTTGTCTGTAGGTCTATGGTATATTTTCAAAAAGATTTCTTCAAGTTTGTCAGTGTTTAAACCCCCTTTTAAAGAGCTGGAACTGAGAGGACATCCAGCCTTTCACAGCCTACTCCTGGCTCTGGCTGAAGGCAAGCTGTGTCACTTCAGTTGCACTAGTGTGTGCCAAGCAGGAATTATAGAGCCTAATGAGAGGTCGAGGGTGCAGGCTGGGGCTCTCGCCTGACCCGCAGAGAGCTGCATAATGCTCTTTGGGAGATTCAGATGGTGGAGTGTGACCGACCTCTCATTATAATTATTTACTGTTTCACCACTCTCTGCTTCACAGATTTCGTTAGCGGTTTTCTATTTTTCTACAGATCACTCATTAAAATACAAAATGTTAATGGACTTATTAGCATCTCGTGTGGGTACCATCCTCTAATTGGTGATTTCCCCGTGGAGGGTTGTGTTTCTGACAACCAAGTGTCTGAGATATGAAAAATGTTCGTAAGCTTTTAGATGTGGAGCTGTATAATAGTCTTTGAATAATACATGAAGAATGAAACTGTTAATGGTTCAAGGGTAGCTGAGGAAGAGTAGATGACCAAAAGGATTTTTCTTAGAAAGAAAAAGCACTTAAGCATATTAATTTTAAGATCTTGAACTATCTCAAACTTGAAAGTGCTTTGCTTTTTTTCTTATAAGTAACGCGCATGCGTGCGCACGTGCACACATAAACCAACCTCAACCTCTTCAATTTTGAAGGTCCTTCTTTAAATTAAGAACTTAAAGCAAAATATCACTTCAGGAAAGTTAGATTATTTCAATCATGTTAATTTTAATCTTGAGAGAAGGTTTATATCAGTCCCTGCTGTCATTCTCTTTTAATTGGATGAGACAAGAGCATAGAGATCTATCTCCTCCTTACCAATATTATCATTTGGAAACAACTGAACTTAAAATACCCAATTGTGACTAAAAAGATCCAGTAATCTTAACTAATTAAGCAGTTGTAATTTGCTGTTCCTTTAACTTGCCAATTTTACTTCAGATGTCAATATAGAAGCCTTTATACAACCTTTGCCACTAACATCCTTGTAACTAATTCCTAGCCTATCAGTCTCATTCTTTCCTTCAAATGACTTCTTATCCTTCTCTTTAATTATTTTTTTCAGCAGAAAAATCCATTTTTATCACTCTTTTTCCCCTGTGCCTTTATTATGCAAAGATCTCTGGGTCATACTTTGCAGTTTCAGGTGCCTCAGGGATCCACATGCAGATTATGTTGTTAGAGGAACAACAAAACAGTGATTTGGTAAAACGTAGTTTCTAGCTTTGGGCTGTGAAGCTTGTAGGTGGAATAGGAGCTAGGATGGAAGGGAAAACTAGGTCTGATGTTGTTGGCCATGCAGCTTTCCCACCTTTTTTAGCCAAAATTAGTTGACCCAATACTTGGAGATTATTCTACAAATTTAAACAATTGTTACAATCAGTCTCTTTTTAACACTTTAGTGCGTCTGGTATGCTTTTCTCAAAAGTAACCTTTTGTTATCTCAAAGGTACCCGAAAAGTTCTTCCATCTGCGTGATCTTCAACCTCTATACATGTTACAGGTAACATTAAAAACAAAGTTTTTTATCATAAATGTAGCAGCATCTGACTATCGTCTGGAAGATAATATTACATTTTGTAAGGCAAACTTGTAGATTAACTTGCTGTATGAAACATTTCTCTATGTTCTTTAGGCTTATGATCAAAACTCTGAGGGGCTGATTTCAAATGTTGCTGCTCTTGTAATAAAGTGTTCTTCCCTGGTTTAGGCACTTCTGCTTGTGGTTTATGTTTGTTCGTTTGTTTGTTTAATTGAAGACTATATTAATTTTCTAGCCCTCTTCTTCCTGTGGAACAAACTCACTATAGAGACTTATATCAGCTGTCCAATGTGAAATATAAGGAACTAGTTATAATGGTAATAAACTGAGGAAAAGGAGATTTATTCTTTCACGATAGCACTGCATAGCTCTCCTGAGTGCTGAGTCAAACTGCAGGTATTGAGAAAAAGAAGTGAGTATTTGTAGGACTTGTACTGAAATTAGATTTTCTTGGAAGGGAGGAGTTTAACTGCATGTTTAATTTATTGTCAAACTATTTAAAAGTTTAGAAGTTATAATTAATGAACCGGTTTAGATGAAGATAGAGGAGGAAAGCTTGTGAAATTTTCTTATCTCCTATCTTCACTGCATTTGAGTAGTGGCAAAGACTTTTTCTATTCCAAAACTCTGCAGCCTTTGACATAAAAACTTGAATTACACCAAATACTTTGACGTAATTTTCTATTCAGTGTCAAAGTCAGAAAGGTCTATTTGCTCTGCATGAATTTAAGGAACCTAGCAGTAACACGAGCTGATAGCAGTAAAGAGTTGTTCCATCTGTGCAAGAATGAAACTTCTGATGTTGTGTTTTTCATCTCTGCTACTAGTAGTCTCAGTATAATATTTTTCAGACTATAATCAATGTGATAATGCAGCCTTGGTTAATTTATGGGGCGCATTGCTGTGTATATTATTAATAAATTCCAGACTGATGCTAGTCTGGCAACCCCCTACACATTAATTTCTAGAGAAGCAAAGTACTTTTATAACTATAAATATTTTTTTTTCCAGAATTGGAAATATTATTTCCTGGAATGTGTGGTTGATATCACTAAACCAAAACTGGAGAAAAGTGATTGTCAGTAATGGAATTATCCTAAATGTACATCTAATAAAAAGGGACTAGTTGAACCATACACCATGATCATGATTGATTCTAGACCAGTTGAAAGAATATTCAGGATGGAGAACTTCATTCTCAGTTGAGAATAGGATTTTTTCTTTTTACCTGGAGTTGTTCATTCTGTTCTGTATTGTCCTTTGGAGATGGTTCTATACTCACTTCTAGTAAAGTGCCTGTACAAAACTGGAGTGTTTTGGTTGGACAAAGGGAAAGTAAGCAAAAGATGCATTTTTATTTTAAATGAGCACCATAAATCTCTTAACCACGCTGTGCACAGTGGTATGTGAACTGTCTTGTTCTTAAGATGTGGGTTTGACAATGAGCCATCTCAAAAGTCTTCTCAAAAATATATAAAAACAGTTATACTTTGCGATGATGGATACCTAAACAATAAACTCTGTTATGTGTTATGTCACTGATTAGGAATTGACTGGAAATGACTATGCAAATAGTGGAGATAGAAAGCCAATCAGCTTGTTATTTCAGATCGGCTATTTCAATAAACAAACAAAAAAAAAAAAAAAAAAAAAAACCAAAGCACCGAAGCACATAAATTGATTATTTAACTACAGCCAGCTTGATGTCTTATTAATTCCAATGTTTTGAACCTAGTGTTAAGAATTGAATGTGGTATATATGCAACATTCTTGTGAATGGAAGAAAGATGCTTCAGTCTGCTCTGCAGGGGAAATATCTTTAAAGTTTTCCTTACAGTTCAAAGGTTTGTAGTGCAATTGCTTTAAAATCTTATCAGTTCTGTAAAACTTGATCCACTTTTAGATAAAGGCATAATAAAAATAAGTTAATATGCAGCCCTTTTAGGCACGCATAGTCTCTCTGTCACTGAGGTTAAGCACTTCCACTGTGTGGTTTCTTTTTTCTGAGATTGTTTTTAATATACTTCATTTTGCCCAGGGATCTTTACTAACCCCAAATAATTCTTTCTCTTAGAATACAAATAATGAAATCCTAAACTAGCAAAAGACTTCATTGGACTTGGTATGGTCTGTACTAAGGCTGAGAAATAGTTCCTTTACTGTAAAACTCCTCCTAAATTAAGGAAATGAACTGGAAAGGCAGTATCAGACACTTTTTTTTTTAAGATGGAAAATGAAGTGACTTGCATAAGGCCGAGCTAACAAGATGTTTCTCTGTTTTCCAAATCATTGCACAATTATTTTTTAAAATTAATATCCTGTAAGGAAGTCAGTCTGAAGGAATTAAGTGTTTGTTACTGACAACAACATAACATTCATATCCAAATCTCATCCAAAGACATCCTTATTATCTTAAAATTTAAGTTGTTCTTTGGCTTTTTAAGTTTTCCAAATGATCAATCATGTAAGAAATGTTTATTGTAGAGTGACAATCTTCTCCTCTATTCATATCGATATCATTTTCTAGTAGACAATGTAGATGGGATTGATGCCTACAAAATTGGACAGCTAAAAATAAAATACAAAACGCCCCAAATCAGTGGAGTTGGAGGGTGTATGGGTATCATTTAAACTATCCAGTAGGAAACATGAGCTTGGCCTAGGACTTGCCCTTTCCTAGGTCTTAGGTACCAAGATTTTGAGTTCAGTGGCTGGGATTCATAGCCTTGCCTGTTCAAGTCCTACTCTCCCTGAATCAGGAATAGGACCATCTATGTCCTACTGAAAAGAGCTTCAGATATTTAGTCTGTAAGCTCATCCTCATTCCTCTCCTTGGGACAAAATAAATATATATTTTCCATTGTGTATAAATATGTAATATATATATAACATATATAAACATATAATTCAGGCACAATGGAGTTGTCTTAATAGTCCAGAAAACCACTCCTTTGGTTTTAGTTGACTTAGTAGAGAGAGGCAGGGCCTGACAAGATGCTCTCATCACTGGATTGCCTATGTTCTTAGTGACAGGTTTAATTTTTTGGGCTCTGGGAAATGGTGGACCAGAATTGATGCTTAAGCTGGCACAATAACAGTGCTAGAGTGGGCACAGAGACTTACTGAAGCTTAACATCCCTGTTTAAAATGCAGTTAATTAATCCTATTAATTAAGTGCTTTCTGCTTATGCAGTGTGTAAGTGAGGAAGTTGCTTTGCCTCTGTCAGTGATGTGAATTTAATAAATTGTGAAGCTGTTTATTACAGATACTTCAAAAATGGAGACTTCAGTTGAGAATTTTCCCATCGCAAAAACAGACTGAGCTTCCTGAAACTGTACTGATTCCTGTGAAATATTTGTGGCCTGTCAAACTTAACTGCCCTTGGGATTTCTAATTGCAAAGGAGATGAGGCAAAGTATTGCTGACAAGTCATCTGGACAACCTATGTAATGTAACAGACTTAAAAACGCATAGTAAAGAAGATCCTTTCCCTTTATGTTGAATAGCTTATTGTGAGATTCTTGTCTTGGACTCTGGCAGAGTGGTTGTTCCTTCTGTGTCTCTATGCGTCTTCAGGATAGGATTTGGTTTTTCCTGCCCATCCTTACCTGCACCACACATATCCCTCCATCAGGCACACAATAGGAGGCTCTGTTTTTCAGGCCCGGATAGATTACTGATGCTCCTGTTCCTCAGGATTCTCCCAGGATCAGATGAGTTGAGCTCGATAGTTGATTAACACCGATCTTTTGTCCTTGCAGGCACTGTGACATTGCAGCCATAGATGAATGCCAATGAGAGTTTTGACTGAGAGGATTTCAGAGCAGAATTGGGTCAAATATAACTTTGAGAATATATTATCACGTTAATTTCTAAAATTCAGAGGTACAGAACCATTCTTTTCCCTCCTTCCATCATCGCATTTTTAATCATACTTCAGAGATACATCTTTTTTGCAAAAGCAGACCAGCAGCAGCTACTTCCAAATCCATCAATAGAATTCTTCAGGAAGATCTATCACAGTAACAAAAAATATAAGTAATGACAGAGATGTGGGTTTTTTTTTGTTTTTTTTTTTTTGTTGTTGTTTGTTTGTTTTTCTCTCCTTCACTACCCCCTCTCATCTGGAGAAAGAAAATGAGAAGATGCGTGCACTGAGGGTGATGATAAGATTGAAATGAACACCTGCTCACAGTTCTACTTAGTTCAGCTGCTTCCTTAAGGTGAGTCTGGTTTCTGAATTGCAGCTGCTAGATTTTGTGAATTAAGTGGGAACATTACAGTTGTGTCAAGCTGGAAGGCACAAAGACAGATGCTGAGCTGGATGAGAAAATGGCTAAGGAAATGAGGAAGGAGAGTCCCCTGTCTATAAAATGTAACACCTGCACAAGGAGGATGCAGCTTGTGTTGTATAGAGTAATTTCTGTATCAAGCAAGTGAATTTGCACAGGAATTTAGCTGTTCTTCACAGGATGAGCAGCAAAACAACTTTAGTGTGTTCTATTTAACTTGCTGACGCTTAGTTAACTTTGTCCTAGGAATCTATGAGGACCCACTTACGCGTTTCCATCCTGCATTATCTTGTTATATGTTGCTTCTGGTCTTAAATAATACACTGGTAAAATCAGATTTTTTTTTTTGTTTGTTTGTTTGTTGGCGATTTTCCTAGTAAAATGGAAAGTATTATGAAAATAAGTTTGATACTGTCCCTCTGGCCTTTGCTCTCTCCTTCTGTTATGAATGTGATGCACAAAAAAAAAACAACTCAAACAAAAAAGTTATGTTGAAATATTCATGAGAAGGAGACATTTTCCAAAAGAAAGGGGGAGGAATTAGATGAGGAGGAAGAGATATCTTAGCGAAGTTGAATGAATCTGCATGGGCTGACATCAAGCACAGAGAAGACTTCATTAAGAGGAAGTGAGCAAGGAAAT